TATGTTTTCACCAGCTTCGAGCTGATTAAACTCTTATCTCATAGTGTACAGCGGACACGGCGCCCGCCAGCATGTTAGCTGAGGCAATGGTACTGAGCCTTGCACTTCTTATCATCCGTCCGCTATGACGCAATTCACATCTCTCCTCGGACAGACTGGATTTTTGTTCTACAGCCCAGGCTGGCTTCGCCATGAGCTTACGACAGGTAGGGCTTACAGCTTGCCGACGTCAGTTTAATTAGTCCCTTTGTTGCCTGTTCCAAATCCCCGACTCCCCAACTAACTCTACCTCATTATTAGTCAGTTGAGAATTCGTGTTCAAGTGATAACGCCAACATGGAGCCGAAAATTGCGTGTACTATCCAGCTTGTCTGGTCGGGCCGATATGGCGCAACGACAGCATGACTCTTGGTGGACGAAAAAAAAGAGAATGTGTGAGATCCACCAACTCGAAGATACCATTCATACACACATCTCACACTCAATCAGTGGACCGGCGAACATGCCGTGTTATCTGAAAGACACACAGACAAGCTGATTTCTGCCGTCTTGACGAGCCGTCCGGCGGCTCCTGTCCCTTACCCACCTTCCCATCTCGTTTGTCGCAGCCTCCTGTCCACACACCCCCATATTTGCAAGCGTGCTCGACGGTCCCGGCTTAATTCTCACCTTTCACGACCAGCCTCGCGCTCCCGACCACTCGAGCCGACTTTGACTCTTGAGACCAGCTAGGCCGCAAATTATCGCATGCTCAAACGAGTGTGTGAATCCATTCTGTACCTCATTTAAGGCAGAGTTTATGGGATCTATCGTGGAGAGCAGCTGACTTTGCAACACACACACACACACACACACGCCCATGTGCCTGTCTATTTGTGCGCAAGCCAAGGAGTGTCTTTGTCCTAGACACAGCCCAGCGCCAGATCCAACTCCGCAGACTAAACCCTTATTCTGCCCACAGGCGAGCGATGGACCACAAATTGGCTCAAATCACCTAATTTCACTCATTTGATCTAGACGATTGATCAAATTTGGGCTGACTTTTTCTACTACTCAATAGGCCATCAGTAGTGCACCATCACTAGATCTTGGATTACAACTTAAGATGATGCGTGACTGAGAGTGAATTTCACACTTTGAGATAAGTAGACCTGACGATAGAAACGAATTACAATCAGACCTGTCTCCCAAAAAGTTGTTA